AGCAATATGAAAATAGAAGAAGAGACTCTTCGAGAAAGCAATAATTATTATCTTTTTATCTCTAATTATTTCGTCCGATCCTTTGCCTTGATGTTCTAAAAATTTTTGATGCTGAGCCAATCAACTTAATTGTTTTTTTTCTTTTTTGCTCGTCGTGCTTAATTTTGTTTTCAGAAAGATGCATCTTTTAAAACACGCAAAAATGATCTCAAAGAATTGAACTCCAAAATTGGAAAAATAAAACTGAATTCAAAAATTTGAGAAAGCCTCTAAGGTTCCCAATTTAGACCTTTTTATTTCCCATGAATTTATCTTATGAGTAAAATAATTGCCCGCTCTTCAATAACGTTCTCTCGTCTACAAAGGATATAACTATTTTTTTCATTGAGTTTTTACTTTTCTAGCGGTTTTCGTGATTTGGTTCTCGAAATTGCTTCATAATTTCAATTTAATTTGTCTGTCCATTAATTCAATTTTATTTGCCTTAGATTACACATGTTATTTCTTATTAGTCTTCTTATAATTGGCTTGTAATTTACTAATGAAAATTATTTTACTTCGCTGCAGCAAATTATTTCTCTAATTATGAATCTAATTTCAACAATTTCACCAAAAATTGTAATATCAGCTGCATTTGTTTAAATCTATTTGTATTCATTTATCTGATCTTAATTATCGCTCTGGTTTTTCTTTGGCATAAAATACTATTTAAACACAAATCCAATTACTAAATTTATATTTAAAAAAAATATATAAAATGGTCTCAAAGAAATTTGCAAGCATCAATCGGGAATTCTTCATGCCTTAACATATTCGCAATTGCTTCAAATATTTCTTTACCTTTCTGTATGTTTTTAATATTTTACTTTTGATATCTTATGAGAACAATTAACGTTTTCTAAGCACTTTATGTATGTTTTGGAACTGGTACTAAATAATCGTTTTCTTTTTTAAAATCTGCAGCAGAAAGGCGAACTATTTTACGAATTACTACTTAAGTAAAATGCAAAATATTTCTTGAGAGGAATAATTGATTGAAAACATTTGAGTTTCAGTTATTAAAAAAACCTGCGCTTCACCAATGTATGAAACGTATTTAGTAAAGTAAATATACAGAAAATCATACTTTCGGTATGATTATATTATACAGAATATTATATATTTAAAATGAATTCAGTGCCAAAAATTAATCAATCCAAAGGAAAATAAAATAATGTTTTTGAAACAAAACTGTGAGAACGTTGTTATTCCAATGTCTGATATTTAAATGTTGAAATATTATTGTACTATTTTTAGATGAAATTTCCATCAGCTGTAAAGCTTTGCTTAGATGGACTGTATATTAAATAATATAATATCAATGTATAAGCAAATGTAAACAGTGTCTTTGACTCTTATTAAACATTATGATTAATTTTGTGGCTATTATTGGGTCATGCTGTGTTACATCAAGATAAGTAGCGGACATAAATTCTGAATTTTTGTAAGTGTCTCCACTTGAGTGCATACTGCATAGACGCCAAAATAACGAGTTTGTATATTAAAATACTCACATATCGTAAGTAGCTAGCTTTCTTAAGCCGCATAACCAATCAAATGCGCTTAAATTAAATTTTATTTTCTCTGATTGAAGTTTGACCTGGTCTGGCATTGTAAATTTAAGCAGGCATCAAATGAATCATAAAAGCAATGTATGCGAAGACATTGTGTATTATTGTTTATTGATTTTAATTAAACAAATAGAATGGTAGTTTCATGCAATTGAGAAGCTTGGCATCTAGTTGAGAGATATTGATAAAGACCACCGCCTATTAAGCAAGATAATATTGTTGTGAGTCTACAAAATGGATTAATAAGCCGGTGATTGGGCAGGATGTTGAATATTAATTAATGCGCAATTTGAAATATTATTTTTTGCAATTTGTGGTTGCGGTTTAAAGCAGATGTTTTATTGGTAGTGAGAAAATAGATCGAGTTCAAAAAAATGTCCAGCAGAACTCTGCAAGCGCACTCTTCAAATTTGTTTGCTCCATTGTTGAGAGACTTTTCGACAAACCCGTCGAGATGCCATTTGGGTTTTACGTTTCCTTAATTGCGTTTGAAGTTACAGTAATTTAAGAAATTGCGATTATTGAACTGACTTCTAGACTTTCGCACTTTTTGAAGAGCATGGTACTGCGCTTTTATAATCGTTCCTAGCCTTCTCACCCTCATAGTGTATCAGTGTAAAAGTTTTACATCTAAATTATTTAAAATTGTCATTTTTATTATATAAGCATTGGATTTGAAAACTGTTGCTTTGTCAAATTTATACCTATTTCATAGTGGGTATATTCAATTTTTTTTTCATTTTACTTTTTGCTATATTTTTCGCTTTTCGGCCGGTAGAAGTAGATTTTCATTGTAACGCTTGAATAATTGTTAATAACATTTTATGGGTTTTTTTCATCAATTTACTTATAAAATATTATATCTCAATTGCAATAATCAAAATTCAAAACTAGATTTTTCAATATATTTATATATCTATTGATATCGATATCGAGCGATATCTAAATCTAGCTTGGTGCATTTCTAAACTTGCTTTATTTTCATACTTTTAGGCTTTTGAAATAATCTTCAGTAAGCTAAGCTTTGAAGAAACCAACAAGCTAAAAACATAATAAAGCTAAGGATGAAAGCTCTGAATTCATTTATTTCCATTTAATCAGCCCAACAGGTGATAAAATGTAATTTATATTTTCAAGTTAAAAAAATATTTATCGAACTAGAAGAAGTTGATATCAACACATAAATAAAAAATGAAATTTAAAGCTGAAAATGGTAAACTGTGAAGAACTTACATTTAAAAGCCTGTTTGTCAGTTGATTAATGAGTATTCGACTTCAATGAAGAGACCCATGCGGGACAGCGATTTACGACAATTAGAGTGATTATAATTAAGCTAAATATATACAGGTTTTGACATAATGAAGTCTCGGATTTACAAACTATACAAACTTTCATAATAAAACATAATTAAATGCGTGAAGCTTTAATAGTAGAAAACATTATAATTTTTTTTTTCTAAAATAGATATTTTAGAAAAGTTTAAAGAGGTATAAGTTTTGTGCCTTTAACTTAAAAATTATTACTTATTAAAAAATGCACGCTATATGAGAAGCTAGGATGGTAGGTAATAATTAGTTTTTGTTTCTTTATAAATTGTTAGCATTTATTCTATACGAGCAAAAAGTAGGTACTTAAAGAAGTCCTAAAATAGCAAAACAGCTAACCATTTAAATTAAATATAAATCTGCATTCAAGATTAAAGATATCAAATGGAGCTAAACGTTCTGGACGAAGGCGCCTCATTCATTTTAGGAAAATTACAACTAATCAAATGCTGGAAGAAGACACTTAAAGCGAAAACGTGTGGGATTTAATTGAAATCAAGGTTTATTTCTTGAGTACCTTTTAACCACCTTATGATAAATTTTAGCATCAAAGACGACAGATTTATAGGCCTCAATTGCTGAAAATAGCTGTTTCCATGCTTTTGCGGCCCGTAGTTGTATTCTTCTTTTATTACTTCCAATTGGAGGTCTTTGAATTTAAGCACAAATACATAGAGATCAATGAGATGGGTTGAATAGACTTAGAAAAATTAATTATTCACTTATTTCATATGAAATATATTTCACTTCTTTAAAGTTTTGCATACATCGTATCTTCGAGAAAAGAAAAACGCACTTGTAGTGAAACAACATTGAAAAAACTAAAAAGTTAAAACCAACGATTGCAACTGAAAAGCGTATATGAGAAAGTATTATTGAAAAGATACATGCTTGCAAATATTCAAGCGTTATTTATATAATTACCATTTTCGTATTTCTATGAAAAAAACGGCCTTCTTCAGGGCACGTAAACGAAAAAGTAATGGTCAACAAGTAAAATAAAACATAATATCGTGTTATGTATACACATAAGTTTCGATAAATTGATGGAAAAAAGATACCAGAACTTCTATAGCTCATGTTTTGCCATCATCTTCCAGATTGTGGCGCAGTCTCTTTGCGTGCATAATAGATGTGCCTTTTGTTAATTCTTTATGTGTGTTTTATTTACGTTTGCATTTTTTCTGCTGTTAATAACACTTGAATATGCATATAAAAAATCATCTTACAGAATAATGTATCTTCATTCAACCCCAGAAAGATCTGATTAACTACCAGACAAAATAATTTTAATTGAATTTTAACATATTCTATTCCACTAAGGTTTTCCATGTTCCAAGCAAGCACTTCAAGAACCAGTTTTGGACCTATTGGTAGGTACTGAGCTGGTGAACTTCTTCTGAGATGAGAGCTGATATGAGAGGCTACGGTAATTCAAAATTAGTTTTCTGGATCGCAATAAACGCAATGCTCTTTGTACTTTATTCTTAAAAAATAGTGTACATTTCTGCACATTTATATGCTTTCTAATTACCAGACTTAGAAAACAACATTCAAAAAAGGCCTTAATGCAAATGACTATTTTTATGCAGAATTTTGGTACCGATTAGGAGATTATGAAAATGATATTGAGTTCGCCTAATTTACGTTAAAGGTAGCTGGATATATTATATTTTGTCCGAATCTATCAAAAACGGAAAATCTAACAGAATAGATTTTATAAATGTTTTGAACCCGTGTGGCAAACAATTTGAGAATGTTTATTTGTTATAGTAAGCTTGTGCGCTTGCTACTGCTACTATTTTTTCAAGCATAAAATGTGTTTAATTAGCTTCAATACGCATAACTGAATCAGTAAATACACAGTTCGTAAATTTCAAAAGCAATTGATTGGAAATTGATGAAAACCTAAAAATAATACAAACTTTGCGAATTTAGAAGTGCGCGAAAATAGACGGATCTCTAAACGCACTGGCGGCAACGGCACGACGTTAGAACTTTCCTTATATCTCTTTTCATACTGGACAGTTGTATACTAGAAAGATGAACAATCACTTCACTCACCCATCAAAAGGTAGTTGCTGCTAGTAAACCAAAATCACTGAATTGAATGCACCAGGCACAACGCCGAGACGCAACTTTTAGTTCATTAGGGCCGTAAACGCGGATTTCCAAAGATGCGGGCAATCTGTGAATGAGCCAGCCAGATGAATGTGATTAGGGTGGACACCTTTCTTAATTCATCCGTCCCTCTGTCTTGTTATTATTTTGGTGAGACTGGTGGGAGTAGTACCGGGTCCACTGAACACAACCGACTATGGAATGAGCTTAGCAGCTTCTGCTTGCTTCTGCCTCGAAAATCCAACGTGCAGGCTATTTTCGAGTACCGCTGTCGTAGTTGCATATTGCCGCCAGTTTCTGCGAATAATTATCTTAAGCACTCCTATCCAGATGCTCAAAACGGTCTGTTTATAGTCGAAGTTTCAGACTTGACCTTACATTTCAAAAAACCTACATTAACCACGCGGATAAACCGATGCTCTATTGAGCGCTTGGCTCTTAACTCCTAGAACTTTCATTTGCTAGCAGAATTACTTTTTGCTGCTTGAAGGAAAATCTTGTGCTATGTTCTTTTGCAAATACCAAACTCCTAAAAACCTATCCTAAAAGGAAGATGTTTTTTGGAGGCCTGATCATGCGTCCCGCTTAGGTCTGTGGATTTGCAATTATTATCCAATCAAAAATAAGGAACCAAAATATAAATGTATTGTTTCGATACAGTTGCTAACACAAATTTGCACTGTAAGTATCGCTGCTTTTATATGGCTTCAATTAAGAATACTGGTATCAAGTTTAGCTAGTTTGGGACGGTGAACAGAAACTCTTTACTTTCTTGAAAAAGCCCAAAAGTATCAAAGTTGTGTTTTTTTAAATGAAATAGCCTATATATTATTGCATTTTTGGATTGGCTGAACAAAATAAGTATTCAAAATAAGTTTTTTGAATAATACGAATTTAATCAAAATCTAATCTAATTTTCACGTGTCAAATACTTTAGAAGTATTTAAGTTATGTAAGCGTAATTTATAGTGAAGTGTAACAAGATATAATATTTTATATCCCAATGATATTAAACCTACCATGTTACACAGGGTGTCCACAAATTTAAACTAATCAAATAAGAACTTTAAGTGGCTCTAACTTGATTAATTTAAATACAACCCCATATTTTTTAACTTACCAGAAAATGCAATTTTTAATTACCTATCGAATGGTATTAGGATGTTAATAGCTAAGTTTTTGCCTTTTTACAAAATACGTCAAATAGTCGTTCTGTGCACCATTTGGTGTTGTTTAATTTAAGGTTCCAATGTATCTAAGTTGCCCATGGCATTTATACATGTCAAATCATTTATTTTATTTGTCAGTTTAAACTGCAAAGTCTCTTTTTGATACGGTATTGTTTTTTGTA